TGAACTCTCAACATAACGTCAACAGCGGCTGTCAAGCGGCGAAGATTGTCGTTTCCAAGCCAGAACTCACCGTTCAGATTTCCAAACCCGTTTTTGTGAGATTCCCATCCAAGATAGAAGTCAACAGAGCCGTCCCAACGTCTCTGAAAAACGGTCCAACCTCCTCCTTCCATGGCCCTATCACATAACACTTGTATCGGTTTATCGCCATCCGGATTAATGGCGTATAAGTCACTGATACTAAAACCATCTTGAAACAACTGAGAGCAGCTCTTCCCCTCTGTTGCGAATAAAAAGAGTGGTTTAGTCTAGTTTTTCTTGAACTTTGACTGATGTCAAACTCTGTACTGCATAGATGTACGAACCAGGGGGGGCTTAGGGGTTGTAGTCCCCCCCCCTGCAAAAAAAATTTATGGGAAACTCAGGTTATTTGGGCAACAACAGAAATTTTGGCATAGCCAGTGGTTAAAATTTCACAACATCGACGGCGAGATTTTAGAGCCGAGCTGAAAATGTACGCTAGTTTTCGTTGTGAGTTCGGAATAGGCTAGACAACTGTTTCAGATATGCGGGAGGCAATACACGAGAATGATCTATTTGATATATATTTATCTAGAGTTTTCTAAAGTGGTACATATCCTTGCAGTGATACCTACTACATCGTGTTCTGCAGCACGATTATTCAGTGAGCTGCGCAGATTGAAAACTACCCCCGCAGAACCACAGGGCATAGTCTGATTTTGTAGTCAACAATGACAAGGATCGTACAATTGATATCTTCGGCCGTCGAAATGGCAGAACGTGTTTTATGAGCTCGTGCATGTGATAGATTCATTGATAAGAATATTTTCAATTCATATGTACTTCGCCCATGTTAGTGTATTGTATAACCCTCGATTCTTTTTGTTTGTTTCTTAAAAATGTGGGAAACTTGAAAGAATGTTTTGGGAAAGTGGTTCACAGCCCCCCCACTCCCAAAAATTTCTCCTACGCCTATGATTTCATGTCCAAATAAGGACGAAGAAAGGTTGAGAACTACTCTCCGCCCTGATCTAAATCGTTAACTTAGTGCAACGTTGTCCAGAATAGCCATCGACACATTTGCATCGTGTGCTGCCGTCTTCATAATTGGGAATGCAGATTCCCTTTTTGCCACATTGAAACCTGTCCTTCTCGCAAGAACTCTGCGAAAACATATCTCCTTAACAACCTTTCCTTTGGAAGTTTATCATGACCTTTCGAATAAAGGGTTTTCTGGGGATTCATGGTTTTTTAGAGGCTCCTCTGGAAAAATATCATTTAAAAACTGCTCTTGACTACATAGATGTGGATGTACTCAAGAGGTGCGATATTTTTATCATGTTAAAGTAAGTATTTAGGGTTTCCAACATCTAGTCTTCTACATGCTAGATATTTTTATCAAGGTGCGACAGGACATGTAGCATTTTTGGATCGGGTAAGTCGAGAAAGTTCAGGAGCAATACCCATGTCCAAAAAAAAACAAAAATTCGATATTTAACGCATATTAGAACATAGCTAGCAGAGTCGCGCAATCAAATTCATTATACGTGAAAGTGCTCAAAATCCCGATAGTGCACGCTGATAGCGTCAGCAAATCCGACTTCTCCAGAAATTGTTCTTTTCGCGCGAGCGGCCATTGTTAGCGCGGGGAAAAATAATATATTTCGCCACAATACATGAGAAAGAACAAAGAAATATTTACTATTTCT